CTTTAATAGATTTTACAAGTATTTCCTCTTCCCCTTTCTTCCCTCCACCCCAACCCCGCACCCCCTCCAACCCTCCCCCCCCAAACTCCCCGAGCAAAATACAGGGTATAAACATTTAACAATCATACACTAACATAAACTAACTAACTTTTAGCATCGTACCTTCACTTATACTTTAACTCCCCTTTTATTAAGTTAACTTTAGGTAAATTGTAACATTCCTTGCAATTTGATTTTCAATGGGGACAATTTGAACTTTGTTTAAACCAGGTTAATGGCCCTTTTAGGCTCCCTCCGTGTGAGCAGAGTTCACTTTTTGAGTAAAGAATTATATGTCACGGGTGTGTATGTGTGTTTGTGTGTGTGTCAATCAGGATTCTAAAGATGCTTAGGTGGGGCATGGCCACAAAAAGGTGGGAAATCCTTTGCTGGCAGAGCTGGCTGGAGAATTCTGGGAGTTGAAGTCCACAAGTCTTAAAGTTGCCAAGTTTGGGAACCACTGTCCTAAGGGATCAGATTGGGGCAGCTTTTTTTTAAAAAATAGTTTATTCGTACATTTTCACTTAACATACACGAGTGCTTTGTGAACAGTGCATTGTCTGGGTCAATGGCTTACATGATGTTTTCCCAGCTCCTAATTTCTACTCCTATTATCTATGGGGTTTCATTGGACGGGGGCAGGTCCGAGAGTCACCTTCACTTCATCTGAATTTCAGGATCCTCTTCAGGTGAGCAGAGTGTGGAAAAAGGGGAGGCAGGTATCCTAAGGGTGTGTGTGTGCTGCACCTTCTGCAGAAGAGGCTGGGGGTGCCAGACCATTTCCCAGTCTTGCCCCCCCACCCTGCAGCAACCACAGCAAAGGCCCTTTGGGGTGCAAAGGGGGGGGGGAAGTGACAGGATCACCCCCAGAGAACCCCATTTCCAACCTGCCTGCGTTGGCATACTTGGCTTCATGCAGGAGCCAAATTTCAACTGGGAATTTTAAGGGGACGGTTATTATTTTCCTACCTTGGAAGGAGGCGCCAACTTCCCTGCCGCAGCCATTTGCTGAGCGATCAGCTGGCCCGGCAAGGGCACCTGAGCCGTTTTTAACTTCTTAGCCTCCACTTTGGCCAGGTTGTCCTCGTCTTCCTCATCGGAGTCTTGCAGGCCGTACTTGGAGAAGTGGGCCACCTGGATGGAGGGAAAAAAAAGGTGTGTTTTATAAATCAGATCAAGTCCTGCCCATCAATTCCTGTTGTCACCCTCTGAAGAGTGAGTAACAGTAAACATCCATGTGTTTTTATTAGCACTTTCATTACCATTACAATAGCACTGATGGTGTTACCTAGTTGGGTCTTGAAACGTCTGCAAAGAAACCACCAGAGAGGGCAGAGAGCCCCAAGGACCCCACAGTCCTCTTCCCTCCCATCTATTCACACACACATGCCCCACTTCAAGTGCCCCAAAATACACGTTTTCCCACGTGACCGAAGCTCTTCTTCCACCTGTTCCTTACGATTTCGAAAAAGAAGGGGGACTCCCGGTTTTATCCGTCAGAAGAGATGGTTACCTTGAATACCCAGGAACCAGTTTCGGGGCGGTACTCCTTAAACTGGGCTCCCTGCTTCCGAGAGACAGCTTCCAGCCGGCCTTCGTAGTTCATTTCTGTCAGCCGTTCTGGGCTCTTGATCAAGCAACGCGAGGTTTTGTCCGTGGGCCAAACTCCGTCCAAGGTGACTTCGGCTCGCCTGCTCAAGAGAGGAAGTTGGGAGGCCTGAAATGAGGACATCTAAGAAGGAAGTGTGTGTGTGTGTGTGTGTGTGTGTGTGTACGCAGCAGTGAGGCCTCTGCCACCNACATCTCAGTTATTACAGGGCTTGAAGTCCAAATCATCCTAACCAGTTCAAGGCAGACTCAGCCTTCCATCCTTTCAAGATCAGTAAAATGAGGACCCAGATTGTTGGGGGCGATATGTTGACTTTGTAAACTGCTCAGAGAGTACTGTAAAGCACTGTGAAACAGTATATAAGTCTAAGTGTTATTGCTATTCTTCAGAAGAAGAAAATTGACTGAGTTCTGAGCAACACTGTAGATATTTGACACGCAGAGCCAAAGTGAAAGGAGAGTCAAAAGGAAAACCTTCTGGAATGGTTGAAGACATAAAGCATATTTTTCTGGAGAACCAGAAAATAGTGGGGAGATCTGACAGCTGTCTTTAAGTATGTGAAGAGCTATCATACAGAAGACAAAGCAGAATTGCTTAAGGTTGTTCCAGAAGGCAGGAACAAATAGTTTTAAGCAAATGGGCTTAAATTACAAAGAAGTAGATTCCAGGATAATTCCCGAAAAATGTCCTAATGGTAATAGCTGTTCAACAGTGAAACAGACTGCTTGGGGAGTTGGTGGATTATTTTTTCCTGGAGATATTTAAACAGAGACTGGACAGCCATCTGTCAAATACATTGTAACAGTTAATTCCTACACTGGGGAAGGGGTTAGACTAGGTGATATCCACGTTGACAATGTTATATAGTATATTATGCTGTCAACTCAGATGAGTAATATGAAAAAAAAGAATCCCTCTGTAACTTGACAGAGCAATAAGTGTTCTCAAACTGTTTTTAAAATAATTAAGCAGCTCTTGGATAGAAAGAACATTGTCTGAATGTTTGTTCTTAGTTGTAAGCATCTCAGTACTTTATTAAGGCTGTTAGCTTTGTTCTTATTTCGGCCTTTCTTTTGGATGTGTCCTGGCTTTTCAGAATCGCCCCCATTTGAAACTGGGAAAAGAATGAAAATGTTTTGGCATCTGTCTTTGACAAGGAAGACAAAGGTTGACATGAGTTGATACATCTGGTATGCAAGCATGTTGTATGTAATTGTTAGTTTTTATATACTTGGTGAGAAATCAAGAACAACTAAGCTAGTTACTGAATCAGTCACCTTTCGGATTTATTATAAATACAAACTAAACCCTTTTTGGAAGACAGACAATTTAGGAACATTGAATCTGTTGGTATAGCAGATTTGGTGGAAGCATTCTACATATTGGAACCGCAAGGGAAAGACTCTCAGTCTTTTTCATTCTAGCATTACATATGTGTTAGATTGTGTAATGGATAGGCACACACAGGCTTAACGATAACAACAGCTCTTTATTAAGTACAACAAGTGAGAACAATCCATCGAAGACTGAGTCTGACAGCAGCCTTTTATAGGGAGCTATCAGACCCTTCGACCAATAGGATTAAACCTTTCTTCCTACAGGAACAGAGGACCTTGGGGGAAACCACTGTAGTTAGAACAAATATTTAATACCCCTCCCCTCTTGGATGGAACAATCCTACTTGTAATGTAGTGATGCAGGTAGGTGGGCTTTTGGGCAGCTCTGCCAGACCTACGCAGTTCAGTAGGAGGGGTTTCCTTGGACAGGTCGGACGGACCTGTTTGCTCCGCAGCACCGCTTTGTGGAAGCTCCTGGAACCTTCCACAAGGTTCCACCTGCGGCTGGAGCTTCTAGAGCCGGTTCGATCAGAGCTCACTGCAGGCCTGTAACATAACCAGATAAGTTCCCCGGTACCTTCAGGCTTGAGCTGGCCGTGGAAGGAGTGAGTGTTTACTCCGTTTGGGTAGGGCTTTGGCTAACTCGTACAGGAGTTACCTCTGGTTGTCTAAGAGTGGAGTTAGAGAGGCAGCCACAGAGTTGGTCAATGTGCCTTCTCCAATTCCTACCGTCCTCAAGCTCTAAGAGGTAAGAGCAAGGGCCGGTGATGCCTATCACTGTGGCAGGAATCCACAGAGTTCCCCAGCATAGTTGTGGGTGTATACCAAATCCCCTACGCTAAATGTCCGAATCTTGCTTGTGGGGCGATAAGGCAGAATAGTTGGGGTGGTATAAGTGGGACCTTAGCTGGCGACCCATGAGAAGCTTGGAGGGGCTTCTCCCTGTTGTGGCACTGGGTGTGATGTGCCGAATTAGCAAATAGTGGTCAACCCATGTTTGCCAATCTCCCGGGCCCATCCTAGAGAGGGCCTCTTTTGCAGATCTCACCATTCTCTCTACCTGATCATTGGAGGCTGGATGGAATGGCGCGACCAGGGCATGCCTGATTCCCTGAGCTGCTAGGAAGGTCTCAAATTGCATGGCCATGAATTGGGGCCCGTTGTCAGAGACCAAGACATTGGGCAGGCCGTGCATGGAGAAAAGTCTCCGTAGCACCTTGATGACTGCTTCTGCAGTAGTAGGCATCCATAACTGTGAGAAATGTCTGGCCACGAACTGGGCCAGCAAAGTCAATGTGCACCACAGTGCTTGAGGTCCCTCCCACTCCTTAGCAGGAGCCTCTGGGGGAGCTGGTCTGGACTCCTGGCATGGTGTGCAGGTAGCCACACATTCTTTGATCTCCCTGTCCATGTTAGGCCACCACATGTAACTCCTAGCCAAAGACTTCATCCTGACAATTCCAGGATGTCCTATGTGCAACGCCTCTAATATTGCAATGCACAGTTTGGGTGGAACAATGACCCGGTCCCCCCACAGAAAACAGCCATTTACAACCAATAACTCATTACATTTGGTAAAATACATTTTGAAATCAACCCCAACAGGCCACTTGGATCACCCCTCCACACCCAGTTCAAAATTTCTTTGATGGTGGAGTCCTTTGCAGAGTGATGGGCAACGTCACTGGACGAGACAGGCCCATTCTCAAGGCAGTCAATGAGGAGGACTGGCATCTCGGGGTAGGGTCAGCAAGAAGTTCAGGCAGTGGGCAGCAGCTTAAAGCATCAGCGTGCCCCAATGTGGAGCCTGGTTGGTGGGTGAGACGGTAGAAGTAGGCCATCTGGTCTATCTGGTCATCCGCGGTGAAAGTGACACTGGGGTGGGTCGGTCCCCAGCCAGTAAGCCCAACAACTGCTTGTGTCTGTAATCAACTCGAAGGCAATTGGGGCCTTGGTTCCATTGGGCATGCGGTGGCTGAGGATGGTGCCGATACCCAATGGGGAAGCATTGCAGGTCAGCACCAATGGCAGGGTCTGGCTGAATTGTAATAGAAAGGAGTCCGCCGACAGGAGTTGTTTTACCGCAGCAAATGCAGCAGCCTCAGCTCTGCCCCAAGACCACTTCACATTCTTAGCCAGGAGATGGTGTAAGGGCTCAGCAATGGTGGCTTTCTGTTTAAGAAAGACACTGTAGAAATTAAGGAGCCTGAAAAAAGCCTGCAGCTTGGTTTGATTGCGAGGTGTGGGGGCGTCCTGAATCCCAGAGCCATCTATTAGGTACCCTAAGAATTCCACCCTTGGTACATTAATTTGGCATTTTTCTTTCTTGAGACAGAAACCTTTGTATCTAATTCAAGCCAAAACTGTTCATACAGGTTTTAAAAGTTGCGTCTCATTTGCAGCCAATACCAAGATGTCATAGAAATAGTGGATGATTCCTGGAATTGCCTGCAAAAACCATTCCACGATGCTTTGGAACAGCCCAGGGGTGATACTAACGCTGAATTGCAAGCAGTGATATTTGAATGTACCCCCGTGGGTCACAATAGTTTGGTCCTCCACCATAGCACCATCTACAGGCAATTGTTGGTATGCCTCCACCATTTCCAATATTTTTCCAGGGTCTAAAGCAGTGTTTTTCAACCTTTTTTGTGCAAAGGCACACTTTTTTCATGAAAAAAATCACGAGGCACACCACCATTAGAAAATGTTAAAAAA